TTGGATTAAACAAATGTGCAAATAATTGATATTCATTTTAATTGTATTTTTTTATTTGTTGTTTTTAAGACTAGTTGTGAGTTTAATTTCACTTTTTCTGTAACATAATTACCCAGTAATATTTTGACATTTCCTGTTAACATCTTTCAATACAAAAACACGGTGAACTGCCAGTGGACCGCCCAACCACCGGGCTTTGCTAGATTTCTGGGGGAAACCCTGAGAAGTGTCTGTAAATGTTGCTGCAGCTGAATGAACGGCAAAAGAACATCAGATATAAGTTAAGTCCAACCAGTAAATGCAGTGGTAATGGTAGCAACATATATTTCTTGTAGTTGGCTTGGATCAAGGCTGGTCTGTATTCTCACCAAAGATGAAAAGCACCAGAATTGGTTTAGAAGTGGGCCAAAACCACCTCAAGAAATGGATCTTTGGTCTGTACTGGGATTCACTTGAGTGTTTTCACGCCTGGTCCGTTTAAAATGTACCTGTTCAGTATGAAGAGCCAGATTTCTCTGAACTGTTGGGCCGATCTGCGTAATCCATACTCAGCTTTGCTTCTGTAATGATAGGCAGCACCAACAGGTGGTGATGCAAGCAGATCGGCAAGTGTGCGGGCACACGAGGAAGTCAGACAGGATCAGGTTAACATGAGTGTACTATGACTGAAAAGGTAGTCCAGATCATTAAAAGACTGTTAAAGAAGTCAGGTGACAGTAGATCTGACCCTTACCTTGCATTGTTGAGTTACCGCACTGCACCACTGGCTTGCGGCTTCTCTCCAGCTGAGCTCCTCATGGGTAACAAGCTACGGACAATGCGGCCACACTTACCACAAACAAAGAACACAAAACGGCTGACAGGAAAGCAAAAAGAGCTCAAATGGAAACAAAAGGAGAACTATGACAAAACAACCAGGAGGCTGAGGGCTCTGGAAGAAAATGACACGGTGAGAGTTGAGGATTGAGGTATGTGGAGCGAAAGGCCACAGTCCTTAAGAAAGTGAACCCCAGGTCATACGAGGTACAAATGGATGTAGTACCTGAGTACAAGTACTCAGGAGAAACCGGAGGAGTTCACTCAAGACTCAGGAACAAGACTCACAGAAACAGGGTCAGGAAGGGAGTGATGCCGGCCATCAAGCCAGAAATACTACTGACACCCAGAGTGTGGGCAATGATGTGTTACAACATAACACTAGCTCAACACCAGTCTTAAGAAGGTCAACGAGGACAACAAGTCCACCAGAGAGACTGATTGTACAAGGGTAAGGAGGAAGTGAAACAACAAAAAGGAAATAAAAGGAAACGGGTTGGACTGTTCAAAGTGGAGTTCTGTTATTATGTAGTTCTGTTACCTCCTGAAGTCTGTATATGTAAAATAAAAAAGAGTATGTTATCAAATGAAAATGTTGTTACTGGTGACTGTTAGTGAAAGCAGTTGACATGTTAACAAACCAGCTTGAAAGGGGGATGTAATGATAGGCAGCACCAGCAGGTGGTGATGCAAGCAGATCGGCAAGTGTGCAGGCACACGAGGAAGTCAGACAGGATCAGGTTAACATGTGTACTATGACCGCTGGAGTAAATTAATAAAGGAGTCAACTTTAAAAGACGTGGCATCCTTTCTAGTACTACAGGACAAACATTACAGCTTCCTCAAACTCAGCGGTGATGATGTTTCTCTGTGTGGCAGTTGCAGGAGGAGGTGGATGACCTGGCAGACAGAGTGGAACAGGCCAACAATGCTTTACGGGGAGACTGGTCCCGCTGGAGGAACAGCATGAGAGCTGACCTCAAATCTGCTTTCATCTCCACCGCTGCCAAGAACATCGATTATTATGAGAAGGTGAGTTCGACTTACTGCCCTTCATCGCTTTTATGCTTATCTTCAGACCTCAAGAACTTTGGCTAGTTGGTTCTTCAGAGCAGTTCTGTTACCTCTGAGATGTTAAAGAAGAATCTGGTTTTTAAAAGGAAGTAATTGTTGAATTCATGTGTACATGTTGATTGATAAAACAAACAAAACTGTTTGTTTAGCATTCATCTTCTAGGTAAACAGGCATTCTCCTGGAAGTAATCTGCTGCTAAGAAAAGATTTTAAATGGAAGAATAAAAGAAAAATGTAGTCCAGAGTTGTATTTGTATGATCTTCAGCCATTGTTTGCATGTGTGTGTTGGATACATTGTGGGCGTGTGGATGTGTGTGAGAATTTGTTGACACTAGGCCTGTCACGATAAACGATAAGTCAATTAATCGCACGATAAGTTAAAACTATCGACCTCATTTTAATTATCGGCTATATCGTGTCATCTCTTACTGTTGATGACACTGAATGAAAAAAGGCTCAACTCCGGTGCTCTCCACTGACCCTCTCTTCCTTATTTCCTTAGTGTAATGCCCAGCGCACGCTGCACAATCTGATGTTACGGATTGTCGACTCATTATCAAAACCTGAGAGACACATTAGCCGACAGAAATCCTCGGTATAACGGTTCGATCGAAACCGTACTGTGCCCAACAATGGACACAGTTCACTAACTTTGAAACCAGGCATTAATCAATTCCTTACTACAATCTACCTGCAATGCATGTGGCGAGTGTCAGTCTGACTGAATGAAAATCATTATAACCTATTTGGGTCACGTTAACGAAGAACAGCTGAAAAGTTACCGGGTTTTCTGGTAGAAATTTCGCTCCAACGCCTCCCCTAGTTATTTATATTTTCTTTGCACGAACTGTTGAATAAACATTCATGTTGTTTCCGATGTCTGCTGGACTTCGGGTTGCGCCGTGTCAGCTGTTCGGGATTCCCTCAGTTTCCCCTCAGAAAGCACGAGGAGAATCCGCGCTTTCCGATTGGCTACCGGTCACATTCAACAGGCTGCGTTACGCTCCCAGTCTGGGCAAATCCTTGATTTAGATCAGAGCGGCCACGACGATCTACCATAACACACAAGGGACAATCTTAGAATGAATAACGTTCTAAGATTGTTGTTCGGGGTAAAAAAAAATCCTGTAGTTTGAACTATTGCATCAGGCAGTCGGATTCTTCTCTATTTAAAACTAATGATTACTGAAGGGCAATATACTATACAGACTTCATAATCTGCACTCTTTTGGTTGAATGCAGTGTTTATTTCCACTTTGGCTTCATGTTGTTTAGTTTTTATTCAAGTACATTTATTGTTAATGGAGACTAAGAATCTATTTTATTTTTGGTTTTGGTTGTTTTTACTTATTTTGTGTATCAGTCCCAGTGTTAAGTGTCTTTTGAAAGTAAAGTGTATCTATCTTTGGCAGGAAATCGCATGTATTATTACGTAATTTCCATTAAATCAATGTAAAAAGGTCTCCAAACAATATCATCGTTTATCGCAATACTTTTTGAGACAATTTATCGCCCAGCAAAATCTGTTATCGTGACAGGCCTAGTCGACACCTGTCCCCAGATCGGAAACGGAGGAACTAAATAACAGTATGTCAGACACAGCAGTCAACAGTACAGCATGCAAAAATACAGCAATAAATTAGATGTAGTAAGGATCATTTCTTGCTGTTGGTGACAAAAAAATGCTGCAGTGTATTTCAATCCTTGATTCTCCATCTCTGCCAGCAGAGGGCAGTAGCTCACTTTAATTCTTCCCCCTCCGGTTCAGTTCCTCTCTGTTAAAAATACACTAAATGTGATCAGAGGTGATTGTCACACTGAGCAGCTGAGTTAAAGACGTTTTCCTTTCCAGAGAAATACTGTGAAAGATAAAATATTGCTAAGGTAGAGGACTGTATTATGTGCTTTTTGTGAAAATGCATAACTACAAGGTTTCAGATCTGAATGAGTGGCTTGATTCCAGTCGTCATTAGGAAGAGTTCAGCAATTCAAAACAATCCATTTTATTAATACCGTCAATATAACAAAAATCAGCAGCAATAGCTTGCTGTTTGTTCCTATCTCTCACTTTAAAATTCTAATACCCATAAAGACACCATGTTGACGTTCTTCATCAGTTCTAGTGTGCTTAACAGTGTTAAGTGATGGCACTTAGAAGAATGGGGGAAGGTTGGAGCTAAAGCCCAATCTCTAATCCCACCTTTGAATTTACCACTTAGTCCCACTTCTTTATTTTACATGGATTACACCCTGCCTTGTTTTTCAACAGCTAATGTCACCAAGCCCTCCAGAAAGAGATAATGAGTAGAGAAGACAACTCCATGATCATTAATTGACCCTTTGGTCAACTAATCGAGGAGAAAGGAAGCACTTGGGTGAAGTTTGGTCAAGAATTTAAGCAGCAGAATAATATCCTGAAATATTGTTTGTGCTGACTGAACAGGAGAATCAAAATATGACTTGACTGAAAAAGACTTGATGTTTGAGCAATGACCAGGGAATATCTTACATGCATCTGGTATATTCCCTTTAATGTCAGCTAGTCAAAAAGGAGCCGTGACCAAAGCAGAGTAAGATAACACAGTGTAACACAGTTGAGAAGGGTACAATATGTTTTAGGTAGATGGGCCAATAGGTTCGGCTGTCGGAGCACGATGGGTGTTTAAATGACACACATACACAGTTGAGTGAATTTAAAATAACAATTAGCTTTAGTAACATAAATCATAAACTCACAAGTGGACAAGACATACAATTAAGAAAGTAAAATGACACACAATAAAATACATGAAATAAAAACGACAATACTTGGCCAAGTGCTAAATATCAAATTTAAATCTATTGGGTGCACCCTGGTAGTTTGCGCTCTAATCTCTTTTAGATGACAAATGAATCAAATTAAATCCTGGTTCAGGTCTCACTCAACATGGGAGGAAATCCAGATCTTTCTAAGTCCAGGTGGGAAGGCTCACCATCAAAGTGTAGAGGAATCCACTCCCAGGAACAATCCAGGAGAAGAGAAGAAAAAGCAAAAAACAAAAAACACAACAACAACAAAAAAACTTGATCTGTCAACAGACAAGACCAGCAGAAACATAGAATTATTATTAAACCATTCTAGCTTATTATGTTTCATAACTGTTTGAAAAATCCTTTTCCAAGAACAATAATAAAACATTACATTTTACACAAACTCAGCAAAGGTTCATGTTTTAATAACTAAGTAGGTCAAATAAAGATCATTATTTGACAACAAGATAAAAGAACAAAAACCAAATGAAAGGTACAAAATATGCTCACCGATCTCAGTGCGGCACGTTCAAAACAACTAGACAGGGACTCTCATTCCAGACACGGAGGGCACTAGACAGTGTAAAATGCATATTTTTTTAAGTTTTAACTTAAACAAAATGAATTAAGTGAAATAAAAATACATTATTATATAGGCTTTACCTTCAGTTGAACTGAAAACAACTGCCAATCAACTGCCAGAAAGTGCAACAGTTCCAACTGATCTTAGTGGTTCTAACAGCAGAAAATTGAAGTTCAGTTTTCTGAAACTTACCACTCTTTCTAACTTATAAGTTAGATTTAAACAATAACTATTTACAAAAAAAATTCCTTCAAAGTCAATAAATGATATTAGAAAGAAACCAAAAGACTCTCACTCTGGCTCAGCTGTCTGATCAGGGTCGGATCTCCCGCTCACAATCAACGCTGCCAACACGAGAAAGAAGGTGGAACCTCTGTGGCATTCCGCTCTCTGATTGGTCTAAACATTCATGGGAATCAAACTTCCCATTGGCCAGGCAGACCACCCCGGCTACCCAATCTCTATTTCCCAAAAGGCTATCCCCACTTTATGTGGGTTACATTTGCAGCTGATGATTATTGTTGTTGACAGCAGAGTGTTAATCATATGTAACACCCTGCTTCCATTCTATGTGAGAAAACTAAAATGGAAGGTGCTGGGTCTGATATAAATCCGGTACCCCAATTGTTGTGCAGCACCGATGACCTAATTTATGACAAATATTACCCAGAGAAAGATTAGAATTTTAGGCAAAATGGTTCAGCCTAACTTTATTAAATTACAATGACAGAAAACCTATTATTTAGTCACCACTGTAACTTTAGAGTTGAAAGACCCTTCAATAATATCTACAAAATATAAACCTCCTTACATAAGGTAAGAATAATAAAACATTAATGTCCACCTTTTGGTTCCAATGAACCACAACACAACAAGAAAGGCCCAATTATAGCAACCAACAGTCTTAAACAAATGTAACCCAGGCAGTTTATTATTCACGACCTCCAGGAGAGTGTGAAAACGTTGCAGGTCTGTTAAACAGCGAGGAGTTGAAATTCCAAAGGGAAAAACATTGAGAGTGCTGCAATCCACAAAAAAAAAACAAAAAAACATTAAGGGCGCTGCAATCTACTCGACTCGTCCGCTCCCTGAAGTCCATTTAACCCGAGCAACACGTGGGGCTGAAGCGGCTAGCTCCCTTAGCTTAGACGAAGTCCTCCGGACTACTCCCGTCTATCTCTCTTGTTCTCTTGTTCCGTCCCTCTCGCAGCGACCCAAGCCCCTCCAACTTCTTCTAAATTTCGTCCTCTGCAGTGTGTTTTTTCCTGTTCTCTCTCGCTCGAGTCTGTTTTTTCTTCCCTTTTGATCTGCTCGACTCACCCTCTGTTCTTCACTGTTCCGGTTCTCCTCTCCTTTCCATTTATGGTTCTTGTCAGCCGTCTCTGTTGTCAAATCGTAGGTTTTCTCGAGATCTTTCTTTAGCTTAGAGACATACTGATGATAGGAGACAGACTTATGACTTTCATCCGGCACACAGAAGCATTTGTCTATTGGTAGACGGGCTTCTCGTCCAAACATTAACAAGTAGGGCGAGTACCCTGTTGCCTCATTTTGAGTGCAGTTGTAGGCGTGAATCAACTGACTTAACTTTTGACTCCACTTGTTCTTTTGCATGGGATCCAGGATTCCAAGCATTGACAGAAGTGTACATTTGAATCTTTCGGGCTGGGGGTCTCCTTGTGGGTGATAGGGAGACGTTCTTGACTTACGGATCCCGAGCATCTTTAAGAGATCTTTGATCAGTCTGCTTTCAAAATCCCTCCCTTGATCCGAATGTATGCGTACCGGGAGTCCATAATGTATGAAATAATGCTCACAAAGAATCTTTGCTACCGTGGCAGCCATTTGATCTTTAGATGAGCATGCTTGAGCATACCGCGTAAAATGATCTGTCACAATTAAGATGTTAGAAAACCCCTGCGAGTCTGACTCTAGTGACAGAAAATCGATGCATACAAGATCGAGAGGGCCTTGACTAGTTATCTGTTTTAAGGGAGCAGCTCACTGCGGAAGGGCTTTACGAGTGATACATCTTCCACGATTTCTAACATACTGCTCAACCTCCACTCCCATCTTGGGCCAATAGAATCTGTCACGGATGAGTCCAACAGTTTTTTCCACCCCCACTTGTCCAGAGTCATCATGGAGGGATTTTAACACCATGGGTACATGTTCTTTCGGGAGCACAATTTGATGAATTTCAGCTCCAGATGGTCTCTTAACTTTTCTGTAGTGAAAAGTTAAGAGAAATAGTGCTGCAATAATTAAGTCTGCTGAAAACAAAGGCATGAACAAATTTGCCAATATTTTTTAGATGATAATATGGTGCCTTTGATGTGGTTGTCGGGCTTCAGATCAGAATCCCTGATCGCTGCCAGACTCCTGGCTTAGTGAGAGCATTTTAAACCAACAGATTGAAGGTGAATTCTGATTTTTAACCTATGCTGTGTTTTACGTTTACTTAGCTGAAGAAAATTTTTGGTGCATCCTCTATATATTTTTTATATATTTGAACCTGATTGCAATCTCTGGATGATATACTAATGTACAACTGTGTCCCATCAGCATAATTGTGATACTCTATCTTGTTCTTGTATAATTTGAATGAGTGGAAACATATATGTATCAAAGAGGAGAAGACCAAAGAGAGAATCTTGGCGAACTCTGCAGATAATTTTATTCAGTTAGCGTGGACCAATGCTGCCTGCTCCGGTCTGGCCTGGAGGCCAATCAAGCAAGCTGGTGACTGGATGCCAGTATATAACAGCCTCCTGGTGTGTTCAATTAGCAGCTAATCATCTGCTTCCTGACAAGAACAAAAGAATAAACAAATTGTAGATTGGGGACATCTACTGGATTGGAGGGGATCGTCACAGCCCCCTGACCCATAACAATGGAGTCCCTAATGGAACTCCAATTCAACTGAATAACCAGGTGACATTTACAATACTAAGCCTTTTCTACTGTACCACAGTCACCCATCAATTCCCACCTTAACAGCTCACCAACGGGAGAAGCCTATAAAAAACTTATAGAGAAGGGAAATGAAAATTAAGGGAAATTTGCCCTGGACAAAGCATCTGCCACAATATTATCCGAGCCTCTAATATGGCAGATATCCAGGCAATAAAGCTGCAAGAACAACATCCACCTCATTAGCCTGCGATTCGGACACTGCGATGAATGCAAAAATGTTAAGAGGGTTGTGATCGAATACGCCACCAGGGGAACACTGCCAGTATCCAGGTATATTTCAAAATGCTGATCCACCCCATGCTTCACTCTGGGCATGCTACAGTCTGGGTGGTACGCTTCTTTGGGGCTTCTTCATACCGTAACTCTCCCAGATGTGGGGAAAACAGTAAAGGTGGACTCAGAGAACAATACATGTTTCACATTGTCCATAGCACAAGATTTTTGCTCCTTGCACCATTGAAACCGACGTTTGGCATTGGCACGAGTAACCAAAGGTTTGGCTAAAGCAGCCCGGCCGTGTATATTGACCCTGTGGAGCTCCCGACGGACAGTTTTGGTGGAAACAGGAGAGTTGAGGTGCACATTTAATTCTGCCATGATTTGGGCAGCCGTGGTTTTATGTTTTTTGGATACAATCCAGGTTATCACCCGAACATCCCTTTCAGACAGCTTCCTCTTGCGTCCACAGTTAATCCTTTTGGATGTGGTTCGTCCTTCTTGGTGGTATGCTGACATTACCCCGATTACCGTGGCTCTTGATACATCACAAAGACTTGCTGTCTTGGTCACAGATGTGCCAGCAAGACGTGCACCAACAATTTGTCCTCACCCATAATGTTGTGTGATAATACTTTGAGCAAAACTGTGCTCTTACCCTGCTAATTGGACCGTCACACTCTGCTCTTACTGGTGCAATGTGCAATTAATGAAGATTGGCCACCAGGCTGGTTCAGTTTAGACATGAAACCTCCCACACTAAAATGAGAGGTGTTTCAGTTTCATTGTTCAACCCCTGTACATCACTTGCATCCACATGCAGGTCAAAAGGATAATTCAGTCGTGGAGCTGCAAGAACAGAGGAAGAACAGAGAACAAATTTGACATCATCAAAAGCTTTCTGACAGGAAGCTGACCAGGTGTACTTCACCTTATCCTTCAGCTGTCAAAGGAAAAAACAACGTAAAAAAGTTCTTACAGAAACTCTGGTAGTACCCCACAAGACCCAGAAACCGCTGGAGTTCTTTTTTTGTGGTTGGTACAGGATACTTAAAAAATGCCGTGACTTTGGCTTCCACTGGAGGTACTTTTCCTTGCCCCACCATCTTACCCAGATAGGTAACAGTAGCCTTAGCAAACTCACACTTCAACAAGTTAATGGTCAGGTGTGCTTCAGCCAGTTGTTCAAACAGCTTCTGTATGTGAGCCAGATGTTTTTTCCACATATCACTAAAAAACACTACATCATCTAAATATACGGCACACCCGTCCATCCCAGACACAACCATGTTCATGAGATGCTGAAATGTTGCCGGTGCATTTCGCAATCCGAAACTCATCACAGAATATGAGAACAGACCCTTCCACCAGCCAGATCATTGCCCATGATTACATCCACTCCCTCAAGAGGATGTGCAGGGTACATCCCCATGATAACCTCTCCTTGAACCAATCCACAAGTCAATGTCAATTTATGCAGTAGAACTGGTACCACTATAAGCTCCATTCCCCGCATTAAAACATGGTCTCCAGTGTTGGTTTCTTCAGAAAAGGGTAATACAGAGTTCACAATATATGAATTAAAAGCCCCAGTATGTCAAAAGTTGAACTCAATCGACGTTCTTCCAACTCCAGTTTTTTCACATCTAATCTTTTCTGTTCTATCCCAACCTGCATCAAAAACAGCTCCCGCTTCTGTTCAAAAATCAAGCTAGTGTCAAAAATGGCAGTGTCCAACCACGTCCAGCTGGTAGCCTGCAACTTAGCTGGTACTAATACACTAGAGTTTGTTAGATTAGCTTTAATAATAGTCCTAATACTGTCCTTTGACCTATCTCCAATTTAAAATGTTCAGCAATCTTTAACAATTGTTCGCGTGTACAGTGCTCCAACCCCTCCTCAGATGGATCTAGCAAAAACTCATCAACAGAAGCCATAACATTAGCAATTATTCTCACAACACCTGAATTCCAATCTTACCAATATTACTCTGAGCTCCCACAAACCCAAAACAACCACAGCCTCACAGCGACCCCATCCCTCTAACTGCCTTACCAGAATCCGACTAATCTCCCCCCTAGTCTTAGGGTGTTACCGTGATGGGTTTTTATGCACTGATGCCTGAGAGTCCGGAAAAGCAACCATTAAATGGAAAACCCCTGCAACTCCGGATGTGCTCCCGAGACAATTGTTCTACC